TCTGCCTTCGGCTCAGGTCATGATCCCGGGGTCCTGGGATCGAGCCCCGCATCGGGCTCCCTGCTCGGCGGGAAGCCTGCTTTTCCCTCTCCTGCTCCCCCTGCTTGTGTTCCCTCTCTCGCTGTGTCTCTCTGTCTGTCAAATAAAAAAAACAAAAACAAAAAAACAGCGGACCTCGATTTCTCACGGTTCTGGAGGCTGGAAGTCCTAAGTTCAAGGTGCAGGCAGGTCCAGTGTTGGGTGGAGAGCCCCCCGCCCTGGTCCACAGACGGCCAGCTTCTGGCTGGGTCCTCACGTGGGGCGAGGGGCAAGGGAGCTCTCTGCAGTCCTTTTTGTAAAAGGGCACGAATCCTATCCGTGGCTCTCCACCCTCTCCGCCTACTCAGCCCCCGGAGGCCCCACTTCCTCGCTCCATCACGTCGGGGGGGCGGGTTTCGGCACGGGGGCTCTGGGGAGACACGGGTGTTCGGTGGACAGGAGCGTGTGAGCCCCCGCGTGTGTGGGTGTGTGGGCCCGGGGGGTGGCGTCACGTGTCGGGCCTGTTTGTGCTCATGACGGTTGTCACCTCTGGGCCTGGGATGTCGAGGCCCCTATGCCACCCTGTCACAGGGGGTGTTTCTGTGGTGCTTGTGCAGCGCGTGTGTGACAGACTGCCCACCGTGTGGCAGAGTGGCTGGCTGGGCGTGTGTCCATCCGGAATCTGATCGCTGTCCCCTGTCTCTGTGCGTTATCGGTCGGTGGCGCTGCCTGACCGTGGCCCCGCGCGCGTGCCTGTCCGGGTGCCTCTTTCATCCCGGGAGTTGTCCTGTGCGTGACAGCGTCACACTGGTGTGTGTATGTGCTCAGACTCTGCGTCACCACCTAAGTGCCCATGTCTGACGTTTGTCCCAGCTGGGAGTGCCCCCTACGGGCAGGTTCTGTGTGCCCCTGCTGCCAGGCGGGGGGCCCGCAGTACCCCCCCATTCCCTGACAGTGGCCCCCTTGTCCCCTGCAGGGAGCCATTTGTGCTGGCCAAGCTGCGGGCTGAGGATGGCCTCTACCTCATCCATTGGAGCACCAGCCGCCTCAACCGCCTCATCCTCACGGTGGCCCAGCGTGAGCAGGTGGGCCTGGGGCGGGGGTCCTGGGCCGGGGCTGGGCACGCTCCCTGCCTGGACCCCTGCTCACCGCCCCCCGCCCCGCTCCCCACCGCAGGCCCCGGGCACACAGCACGTGCACCTGCGTAAATTCCCCATTGAGCTGCAGGCCGGGGGCTTCACGCTGGAGGGTTGGGACCGGTCCTTCCCCAGCGTGCGGGAGCTGCGGGCTGCCCTCCAGGGTTGCTCCCTGCGGGCTGGTGATGACTGTTTCTCCCTGCACCACTGCTGCCTGCCTCGGCCGGGAGGTACGACGTTGGGGGCCCTAGGGTGGGGTGGGGGTGGCATCTCAGGCCACCCTTGGTGATGCCACCTCAACCCCCCAGAGATCTCCAACCTCATCATCATGCGGGGGCCTCGGGCCAGCACTGGTCCGCCCAACCTCAGCCAGCTCAGCTTCCACCGGATCTGCCAGGATGACATCACCCAGGTGCGTGTGGTCAGCTCTCTGGGGCCCGGGGGGCACTGGGGAGGGCAGCCCCGAGTGCCCGTCATGGAGATGCTCTCTGCCCTGTTCCTCCAGCTGTCCCACTTGGGCCAAGGCACGAGGACCAATGTGTATGAGGGCATCTTACGAGTGGGGGGCAGAGGCCCCAAGGAGGGCACGGCCGATGGTGAGGACCCCCCTACACCCGGTGGGGACTGTGGGCAAGAGCTCCGAGTGGTACTCAAGGTGCTGGACCCCAGTCACCACGACATCGCCCTGGTGAGTGAGCACAGCCGGGGGCGGGGGGGGCGGGCAGGGGGAGGGCTGCAGGGCTCAGCGTCTGCGGCTGCCTGACCTGCCCCGTCCCCCCAGGCCTTCTACGAGACAGCCAGCCTCATGAGCCAGGTCTCCCACGTGCACCTGGCCTTTGTACACGGCATCTGCGTGCACGGCTCTGAGAGTGAGTGAGCCCCGGCGCGCCCACTCTCAGCCCCGCCCACACCCGCCCCCGTGTGCTGGCCGTGCCCCGCTTGTGCCCACTCCCTGGGTTGGACCCCGACCCTCAGCCTGTGTCTTCCTCACCCCTGACTCCGTGCTCCACCTTGCCCTATACCATGATCCCTGACTACACACCTCAATCTGTGACTGCTTGACCTTCGATCTGTACCCCAACCGCTGACTATATTCCAACACTCCCCGACTACACCTTGACTCTTACCTTATCTCAGTGCTGGCTACACCCACACCCTGACACCTGGCTATATCCCTAAGCTCCGTCGCCACCTAACACCTCTACCGCCCAGCCTCTATTTACCCTTTGACCCCACCGGCACTGTGGGACCCCATGCGGACGCCAGCACCCAGACCTCAGTCCCTGCTCTGCCCCCACCCCTACGCTTACTCTGCATGTACCTCAAAACTCCTTGTCCAGCTAGTAGCCCCCAGATCCTCAGCCCCATGTGTCTGTCTCTCTTGCTTCCCCTCCCAACACTGGTCGACACCCCATGAGCACCCCAAGCCTGTGGGATCCTCTCATCACTCATGCCCCAGCCTCAAGCTCTGCACCTCCACTTGTCTGCACCCGCCTCCAGTTCCCCAGTCCCGTCCTCAGCTCTGTCACTTAACGTGTCAGCTTTGCCCAGCTCCCCCTCCTAGACTCAGATGTCAGCGTTCACCTCTTCCTCACCCTGCACCCACATTGCCTACCTCCCTCCTGCATCTCCCCTCACCCCCGAGTCTCTTGCAAGCCGCTCCCCGCATCTCTGCCCCAGTGCCTTCCCCACCCACCGTCCCAGCCCCCATGTCCTGACCCCCGAGTCCTGGAGCGGGGAGGCGGGTGGGCAGCCTCCGCAGCGGCCGGGCCTTTGCAGACATCATGGTAACAGAGTACGTGGAGCACGGGCCCCTGGACGTGTGGCTGCGGCGGGAGAAGGGCCACGTGCCTGTGGCCTGGAAGGTGGCCGTGGCCCAGCAGCTGGCCAGCGCCCTCAGCTACCTGGTGCGTGGCCTGTGGGTGGGGCCGGGATCGATGGGGGGTGGCCACAGTGGCCTCAGCATCGGGTGTGGGGGCCTCAACACATGACTGCATCTACACACTGGCCCTGGGGGATCTTTCCACGCACCTCTTCTGCTCACACACCCCTGTGGCTCTCATCTCCCCCAAGAGAAGAACACCTCACCCCTCTATGTCCCATGGGGCCTGACCTCAGCCCCTCTGTCGCTCCCTCTTGCCATTCGTCCCAGCTCCTCCTGGTCCCCAGTGACCCCAGTTTCCAGAGCACCTCTGGGTGCCTGGCTCTGTCCTAAGCCCTGAGGATGCACTAGGGAACAAAACAAAAGGTCTCTGTCGCTAGGGAGTGGGTATTTTAGTTGGGAGGGGCAAACAAATAATGATTAACTACTCTACATAGTATTTTAGAAAGTAGTGACAACTGTGGGAGAAAAGCGGGGGTGGGGACAAGCAGTTGCTACAGTCCAGGGAAGAGGTGAAGTTTTAAATAGATGGGTGGGGGACGGCCCCACTAAGGTGACCCGAAGGTGAGGAAGGAGCCATGCGGGCATCTGGGGAAGTGCATTCCAGGCAGAGGGAATAGCCAGTGCAAAGGCCCTGGGGCAGGAGCTCGCCTGGCGTGGTTGGAGGACAGCAGTTGGACCTGACCACGAGCTTTGGCCACCAGCTCTGGGAGGAATGCTGACATCTGGGGTGCCCAACAGTGCTGGAGGAGGAGGAAGGACCTCCTGGGTACCCAGTGCTGCCCCATCGCAATGCCAGTGTATTTGGATCCCCATGATTGTTTCTGCTTTGTTTTGTTTGTTGTTTGACCATGATTATTTTTTTTACATGGGCCGTCCCTGTGGAGACCATGTGGGGTGGGAGTGGGGCCAGCATCTACAGCGCCCCCCCATGGTCACGCCCCCTTTCCACCCCACCACAGGAAGACAAGAGCCTGGTTCATGGTAATGTGTGTGGCCGGAACATCCTGCTGGCGAGGCTGGGACTGGCAGAGGGCACCAGCCCCTTCATCAAGCTGAGCGACCCTGGTGTGGGCCTGGGCGCCCTTTCTAGGGAGGGTGAGGACCCGGGCAGGGCTGGGTACAGGGACAGGCTTCCCTCCCACTCTTTTCACCCTCGCTGACCTCTGACCCTGGCCCCCAGAGCGGGTGGAGCGGATCCCCTGGACAGCCCCCGAGTGCCTATCTGGCGGAGCCAACAGCCTAACCACTGCAGCCGATAAATGGGGCTTTGGTGCCACCCTCCTGGAGATCTGCTTTGACGGGGAGGCCCCTCTGCAGGGCCGTGGCCCTTCCGAGGTATGTCCAGGGCATCTCTGGGCCCTTCCTACAGAGGGGATTGGTACCTCCAAGGAGTCTAGAGGGCACATTCATGGTCCTGAGCTGCCTCCCCTCTGGCCGTGTGGCCTCACGTATCTAGGTGGCCTCATCTCTCTGGGGCTCCATCTGGTTATCTGTCAGTTGGGGTTAACAGTCTCTACCTCATTAGGTTGTTGTGACACACAGCAAGTAAGTGACATGGTTCGGTTTTAAGCAGAGCCATCCGGGCCGTCATGGGAGAAGCCACAGGCTGTGGGGGTGAGGGAGGACCAGAGGACTCCCCTGAACCAGCTGAGGGGTCTGGCGAGGCTTCCCAGAGAAGGTTATAATCTAAGTACAGAAGTGTTGCAGTGACCCAGGCTAGGAAGTGCAGCCTAGCAGAGGTCACGGCGTGTACAAAGGCCCTGAGGCCTCAGATTGTGGTTGGAGCTTCCAGGAGGCAGAGAGAGGAGGAGCCAGGGCAGGAAGGGCCTAGTGTGAGCTGCTCTCGAGCACAGCAGAGTCAGCTGGACTTGGGATCGAGCCCCGGCTCTGCAGTGGTGGCCAAGTCCGCTTGCCTCCGCCAAGCCTCAGTCGCGTCATCAGTAAAATGGGAGTGACCGGAACAAGCACCTAGCCTGCTCTGGGAGCTTGACTGTCTTTTGGAGAAGGGGACTGGCGGTGGGCGGTGGGCACTGACTACTGTGGGTCTCCTTCCCGGCAGAAAGAGTACTTCTACCAGAAGCAGCTCCGGCTTCCTCAGCCCTCCTGCCCGGAGCTGGCCACACTCACCAGCCAGTGCCTGACCTATGAACCAGCTCAGCGGCCCTCCTTCCGCACCATCCTGCGTGACCTCACTCAGCTGCAGCCCCAAAGTGAGCCCCACCGCATTGCCCGGACTCCTGCTTATGCCCGCCCAGCGCCCCTGAGGTTTCTGCCCAGGGACTCATGTCACGTGTGACAGCATCTTACGGGCGTGCGGATGCCTGTGCTCAGACCATCCCAGGTGTCCATTAGGATGCAGCCACTTCTGCATTTTGGACATGACATAGAATTTTCCAGCCATTGCAAAAAAAAAAAAGTTTCCTTATATTTGAGATCAGATGCTGGGGGAGCGGTGGCCCCCTCTCTGCGCCCCCAAGTGTGGGCCTGCTGGGGAGGAGGCCGGGGTTCAGTGACACCCACTGTGGCTCTTCTAGATCTTGCTGACGTCTTGGCTGTGAACCCCGACTCGCCTACGTCAGACCCCACCATTTTCCACAAGCGCTATTTGAAAAAGATTCGGGATCTGGGCGAGGTGAGGGTCCTGGGGGCTGGGGCAGGCCTGAAGTTAATTGTGGAAATATGGGTGGGGGGCCTGGCCTAGAAGACCTTCGGCCTCAAGGGAGGCTCTGACGCTTGGAAAAGGAGTCCTTGCCCCCAAGGAGACCCACTAACACGGAGTAGGTGGGGCCTAGGATTTTCCAATCGGACCCAGCTGGGGGTGGGGCCTGCGGAGCCGGGGTAGGGCCGACCCGCCTCCGTGTCCCCGGGGCCAGGGTCATTTCGGCAAGGTCTGCCTGTATTGCTACGACCCCACGAATGACGGCACTGGCGAGATGGTGGCCGTGAAGGCCCTCAAGGCGGACTGCGGCCCCCAGCTCCGCACCGGCTGGAGGCGGGAGATCGACATCCTGCGCACGCTCTACCACAAGCACATCGTCAAGTACAAGGGCTGCTGCGAGGACCCAGGTGGGCGGGACCCGCAGGGCCTGCGGCCAGTTAGAGCTTCCGGCTGGAGCCTCGGGCCGGGGGACGCGCTAGGGCGACTGCGGCCAGGGCTGCCCCCTTCCCGCCTGGGCCCCTCTGCTGGGGCACCTGGGGATGCGTTTTAGGGTGGGCTGGCCCGCCTGAGGACTGGGCCTGCTGTGGGCGACGCAGGGCCCCACCTTGGGGAGGGGGGCAGGCCGTGGGGCTCAGAACGGGCGGCCCCCAGCCCCTGCGTCCATCGCCCGCGTGGGCCACCCGTCTCCCGCATCAGGCGAGAAGTCGGTGCAGCTGGTCATGGAGTACGTGCCCCTGGGCAGCCTGCGGGACTACCTGCCCCGGCACAGCGTGGGCCTGGCGCAGCTGCTTCTCTTCGCCCAGCAGATCTGTGAGGTGGGCCCACCGGCCCCTGTTCCTTGCGCCCGGCCCCCTCCTCCTCGGCCTGGCCTGATGGCCCCATACGGTCTGCTCACCAGTCCCCGCTCCTGGGCCGGCTCCCCAGCCCACCCAGTTTCCAGCAACCCAGTCCCTCCCGGTTCTCGTACCCCTGCTGCCAGCCCCGCTCCCTTCTGCTGCTCCCAGCTGCCACCCTGCCCACGCCTGCCTGGTCCCCCGCAATCCTGACCTGAGCCCCCACTCCCCCACCCCCTTCCAGTCCGGGCCGGCGCTCCTCAGGCTCTGCCCCGCCCTACTGAGCCTGACTCGCCCTTCCCCCAGGGCATGGCCTACCTTCACGCACAGCACTATGTGCACCGAGACCTGGCTGCCCGCAACGTGCTGCTGGACAACGACAGGCTGGTCAAAATCGGGGACTTTGGCCTAGCCAAGGCTGTGCCTGAAGGCCATGACTACTACCGCGTGCGCGAAGATGGGGACAGCCCCGTATTCTGGTGACCAGACAGGACCCGGCTGGAGTGGGGTGTCAGGGTCACCTGGAGCAGACAGGGTGAAGGGGATAGATGCTGGGGTCTCAGATGACAGGGCCTGGTCCCAGGGAAACTGCCTGCCCTCCCCCTCCCCAAGGATGGGGCCCTGACTGGGACCAGAGAGCCCCTAAGCTCCAGGTAAGGACTCCCAGCTGGTCTGGCCCAAGGCCTGAGTGCCCCATCCCCCCCAGGTATGCCCCAGAGTGCCTGAAGGAGTGTAAGTTCTACTATGCATCCGACGTCTGGTCCTTCGGGGTCACCATGTATGAGCTGCTGACCTACTGTGACTCCAGCCAGAGCCCCCCATCGGTGAGAGCCAGGCCCTCAGCCCCACCCCAAACCAGAGGCGCTAGAAAGGCATGCCTTGGATTCCCAGCTGTCCCACTGTAGGAGTGCTTAACCCACCTGGGCCTCACAGTGCCATCGCGATAGAAACCCACTCAAATAGAAGCAGCTCATTCAACCGTTTGCAGCCGGGGAGACGCAGCTTGACTTAGATGCTCAGCGGTCCTCAGGAGACCCGTTTTTCTCCATCTCCGCTCAGCTGCTCTCTGTGGTAGCGTCTCAGGCAGGTCCCCGCCCCCGGGGCCCCTAGCCCCTCAGGCGCGCAGCCTCAGGCCTGGGCTGGGGGAGGCACTAAGGCTAGGCTAGGAGTTTGTTTATTTTTAAAGATTTTATTTATGTGCTCGCTTCGGCAGCACATATACTAAAATTGGAAAGATTTTTTTTTTAAAGATTTATTTATTTGAGAGAGCGAGAATGGGAGAGAGAGTACATGAGAGGGGGGAGGGTTAGAGGGAGAAGCAGACTCCCTGCCGAGCAGGGAGCCTGATGCGGGACTCGATCCAGGGACTCCAGTCATGACCTGAGCCGAAGGCAGTCGCTTAACCAACTGAGCCACCCAGGCGCCCCTAAAATTGGAAAGATTTTATTTATTCATTCGACAGAGACAGAGCGACAGAGGGAACACAAGCAGGGGGAGTGGGAGAGGGAGAAGCAGGCTTCCCGCAGAGCAGGGAGCCCGATGTGGGGCTCGATCCCAGGACCCTGGGATCCTGACCTGGGCCAAAGGCAGGCGCTTAACGACTGAGCCACCCAGGCGCCCCTAGACTAGGAGTTTATTCCCAAAGCAAATCAGAGTGCCATTGTAAGAGACGGGGGAGAAAAGATGCCGGACAGATGGAAACAGTTTGCCGAGAGACTTAATAGCAAACCCCTACTTCAGACTTACTCTATGAGTATTAGTTACCTAACTTACACAATAGCCCAGTGGTAGATATGACCACCCCATTTTACAGGTGAGTAAACCGAGGCCCAGAGAGATGAGGTCATACATCTAAAGTTACGCACCAAGAACTGGCAGAGGCGGGACGGGCACCCCTGTACTTGCAGGCTTCTGACCTCTACCTAGGGAGACCCGCCTCCTGAAAAGAGCTGGTCTTGTTTTCGTGCAGAAATTCATCGAGCTCATAGGCCTCACCCAGGGGCAGATGACGGTGCTGAGGCTCACTGAACTGCTGGAACGAGGGGAGAGGCTGCCCCGGCCAGAGAGATGTCCTTGTGAGGTGAGACCCCCCCCCCGCCCTTTTCACCTCCCTGCCATCGGACTGCAGAGAGAGCAGCCCCACAGTCCCACTTTTTTCCTGCCCAGATCTATCTCCTCATGAAGAACTGCTGGGAGGCAGACGCTTCATTCCGCCCCACCTTCCAGAACCTCATACCCATTCTCAAGACAGTCCAGGAGAAATACCAAGGCCAGGCCGCCTCAGTGTTCAGTGTGTGCTGAATGAAGCCTACCGGTGGCTCTGGGGGGGGACTGGAGCAGGCACCCACCCAGAGGGCCTCGCCGCCCCCAGAGGGACCCGACAGGGAGAGGTCGGCCTTACCATTCCCCGTGCCTTATTCCTGCCTGGAGATCCCACCTCTGTGAATTGACTTTCCTTCTGTCTTACTCCCTTTGGGTTGCTGTAACAATCCCACAGATGGAGTGGCTTATAAACAGAAATTTATTTCTCGCAGTTCAGGAGGCTGGGAAGTCCAAGATCAAGGCTCCAGCGTAGTCACGTTTTGCTGAAGGCCCTCTTCTTGGTTCGTAGCCCACACCTTCTGGCTGTGTCCTCACAGGGCTGGGGGGACTCGGGATCTCTCTGGAGTCCCTTTTATAAGGACGCTGAAGAAGGCTCCACCCTCATGACCTAGCACCTGCCAAAGGCCCACCTCCTAATACCATCACATCGGGCATTGGGATTTCAATGGGAGAATTTTGAGGGGATGCAACCCTTCAAACTGTCATCCCTTCCATGGTTATGAGCCTGGCACAGGCCCGTGAGGGACCCAGGACAAGCAAGGACCTAATCAGGCCCTTGAATCCGATCTTTCTGCCTCCCCCTCAGCTCCCAGCCTTAGTTAACACCCACCATTTCCACCAGCTGGTAATAAACTCGTCTTTTCTCTGCCGGAGGCTGTGATCCTTGGGCCCTTCTTCAGCGAGTGTTTGCTCTCCTGGGGACTGCAACTAAAGCAAGATACTGCAGAAGAAGCCAGACTAAACTCTCCAACCTTTGCTCACCTCCAAATCACCAGCTAGCAGGCCAGTACCTGGAGCACAGAAGGCTCCCAGTAACTACTTGCTACAGAGACCAACAAAGGATGGAGGCCTTGGAGGGGCTCTACCCCACGTAGATAAGCCTGCCAGGTTCACCCTTTCCTGGCTGTGTGACTTCAGGCAAATGGCTCTCCCTCTCTGGACCTTCGTTCTCAACTCTGAACTGGGCGTGGTCACGCGTGCTATCTCAGAGGACTAATGTAAATAGCTAATGAGGTTCTTTATGACAGAGGCTTAGCAGAGAGACATGGAAACAATGTACTCAATAAACATTTGATACTGTTGTTAATCCGGTGTTTGCCAAAGTGTTTATTTTTTTAAAGGAAATGATTTATTTTTGCTTTTTTTTTTTTTTTCCCTAAAGATTTATGTATTTGAGAGAGAGTGAGCACGAGCGGGAGGGGCAGAGGGAGAGGAAGAGAGAGTCTCAAGCAGACTCCCCATGTGTGGAGCCCAGCACAGGGCTTGATCTCACGATCCTGAGATCAGGACCCTGAGACCACGACTTGAGCCGAAACCGAGTCCAACGCTTAACCCGCTGCACCACCCAAGCGACCTTGCCAGGGTGTTTCTACTGAATAGCTGTACTTGAGACAGGATATGTGTCAGCCACATTGTGAAAGGCACTGAAATATTTTTCTTTCTCATTGGATTTCTCAAGACCTTGTGCGTTGCAACTCCCCTTATCCAACTAATTCCATACTAATGTATTTATGTTTGCTTTTTATGTAACAGTTTTCATATTAAATATGCATTATAGTTATATATTGGAGGGGGGGTAGGTAGTATTGACCTAAGCAGTGAAATGTCTCTATTAGCCAGGACTGTCATCTCCTTGAAGGCAGCTAATGTCATCTGGTTTCCTGTTTTTGCTTCCAGAGACACTTCATCCAGATACAAGGAAATCTGTACACATACTATGCTTTCTCATCTTTTGCAAAAATAGTAGCATGTGGAGTGCCTGGCTGGCTCAGTAGGTGGACCATGTGACTCTTGATCTTGGGGAAACCTCCTTAAAAAACTTTTTTTTTTTTAGAGTTTTTTTTTTTTTTTAAGATTTTATTTATTTGACAGAGACACAGCGAGAGAGGGAACACAAACAGGGGGAGTGGAAGAGGAAGAAGCGGGCCTCCCGCCGAGCGGGGAGCCCGTTGCGGGCCTCGATCCCAGGATCCTAGGATCATGACCTGAGCTGAAGGCAGAAGCTTAACCTACTGAGCCACCCAGGTACCCCCCAATTTTTTTTTTAAGATTTTATTTATTTATTTGAGGGGTGCCTGGGTGGCTCAGTCGTTGGGCGTCTGCCTTGGGCTCGGGTCA